GGTAGATATTACATCTACGTAATATATGTTAAAATACGTACGGTATTTATGTGTATGGCCTTTAGTAATAGTTTTTATATCTACTTTACATTATTAGATTCTCTATATTGCGTTTTAGTTTTTTTATCTCTTAGCATTTATTGGATTACAGTGTAACGATTTTTTAGGTTATGTCATATAATTGAGCGTAGGAAGCGTGTTTTGTACAAAAAGTATTTCACCCGTCGTCGCTTAATTACGTTAGCAACATAGTACAATGCCTATAGTTTTTGCAATCGTTTTTATCCAGTTTCTTAATGTTCCCCGTAATCTTATTTTTAATTTTTTGCTGGAGTTGTTGCGTTATTATTTCACGTTTTAGTAATGTAATTATAACGTTTGTCTATAATATTCCCTGTGAGATAGCGTAGACTAGCCTGGGTTTATAGCTGTACTATGTTCAAATTCCCTTGACATAGTGTTAAACTTTATGATATAAATAAGACAAGTTTTGAATTAAACATTTTTAATATTATACTTTATTTTCTTTTTGTAAGAAAATACAGATACAAAATCACAATAACTTATCATTATCTTCATTTACATAACAATTATAATAACAAAAAATTACATTTATTAATAGTCTACGACGATTTTCGACACCGTCTCTATCACATCGCATCGAGCCTAATTTTTCATACAGAATACTGACATACATAAATAAATTAATTATCACTACACTTGCACCTCAGTCACTTAGCAAAATAATTTAATAAATAGGTTATAAAAGTTAGTAGCGTCCATTTCGTATCGGTACGATATTTTCACACATCGATTTCGCGCGATTGAAACCTCGCGCTTCGTTTTAAATATTATGGCAATGCGGCGTGCACCGCTAGTCTTTACTGACCTTAAACTACTTAGGACACTTAAACATCACATTTGCGCTTTGTATTTACACAATTGGTCGCCTCCGTTGCGGCGTTAGAGTTCAGACTAGAGCTTTGGTTTCACCGTCCGTAGCCGGGCGGCCTGCGCCTGTCGTGCGCGCCCTGCGACGCCTGCGGGGTCAGGAAGTACACGTGCGCGCCCTCGCCGGGCAGCCGGTACGACACGAACGCGCCTCGCCGCCCATCCCCTGCTCCCGCCGGCGGTATCCACTCCGCCTCAGGCTCGATGCTCGGGCCAGGATTGTTGTAATTTACGTCCGTGTCCCCTTGTAATGACGGCGGCGCCGGTGTCGCGTTTAAGTCGTCCAATTCGCTTGCATACTGAGCCGCCTTCCGGTAATTAGGATTCGCTATAGGGATGAATTCACTGTCTGGATTGATGGTGGGTCTCGGATATTTGTCATTTACTCGCGTGTCGTCCAGTAGCGATGGGGGTTTGGGAGGCTGCACCAGTTGCGCGTTCGCATTGATTGCAATCGGCTCACTGTTTGGGTTGATCTGCGGCCTCGGTGGACGATAGTTTACCAGTATATCTCCATCTAACGACGGAGGGTTAGTCGGCCTCGGAGATTGTACGATTTCGTAGTCGTACTGCAAATTTATGTTGTTGTTGACTGGAGTGCGCACGGTTTCTAGAGGAGGTGTTACCGCTAGGCCGTTTACATCATGAGCCCCGTCTTCCACTTTCTGTCCAAAAATATCAAAGGAATTCCTTGTGATGTCGTCAAAGTAAGTTTCGTCTTGCTTCGTGTAGTAGCCGTTACTTATGGGATTGGGCGTAGTACTGGGGTACCTATTCACTTGATGGAGGGGCGTCGGCTTCCCTGTCTGTACAGGAATCTGATTTCTATTTTTGTTTTCCTCTTTATTTATTTGAGCATCGTTGTAGACTTCTTGGGTGGGATTAGTTTTCGGATAGTATCTGCTGGGTGTCGGTGTTTCTGTCGTCACGGGTACATTTTCTACCAGGTACTGCTGATGGTACACCGGCGAAACAGATGGAGTTATGGCGTTGAATTCATTTTCGACGTTAAAAGGCTTGCTGTAGCTAACCATTGGTCTGAAAGGTTCCGGGTCAAGTTTTGGTGCACGGAACGCTAGCTGTTCAGGTCTCGGGTTGGACTGGTAACTAAATTGATAGACAGGTCGCGGAGTACCATGCTTTTGTTTGTTTATATTGCGTTGTGCTTGTGCTTTAGGTCTCTTGGTAGTAAACAAGTCGATCGTTTGTCGAATATCTGCAATTTCTTGGTAGAAAGTGCTCGGATTCTGTTTCGGTTGCTGCACGTAGACGGGTTGTGGGCGAGGTTTCTGCACACTAAAGTACTCCTGAGTTAGAATTCTGGGACCTTGTTTCTGTGGCCATAGAAATAGTCCGTCGGAATCATCGATGGCGCCATAAGAAACGTCGACTACTGGACTGTAGCCGTTCTGAGTGGTAACGCTCTGATGTTGGGGCTGTCGAGCTGGATTAGATGGTACAGTTTTGTAGTAATTTCTACCATCAAAGTAAGTTTCAGGAGCTGGCGAAGTTTTGGGTTGCTCATCATAAAAGTAGAAAGAAGCCACGGCGTTCTGGCTCGGTTTACGTCTGTACACAGGTTGCAGTTTTGTCGCTGGTATGCCATCGTTTTGATCGTCAGAATAGTAAGCTCTGAGCGGAACCTGAGTAGACGTTACTATATCGTCTTGGATAGAATTTGGTGTTTTTTCTGGTAACCTATAAATAATATAGGGGTTTTCTGAAGACGCCGGGGGTTTTGTATTATAAATCTGTTCTGGATAATCATATAATACAGATACAGACAGTGGTTTTGAAGTAAGCTTTGTTCTTGTCTTGTACACCGGCTTCTCTGTCTTTGGTCTGTAAGTTACTTCATCCGGTAAGTTTTGTATTCTAATTGGGTTTCTAGGCGGCGGTGTTACAACACGCTGTGGCGTCCTCTCTTTAAGTGTTGTCATTACTTCAGTTGGCGGGACAGTTGTGAACGTGGTCGGAACCTCAGTTGTTCTGGTAGATTCAGTTGTTGTCGTTGGTCTTGTTTTGTATTTGCGTCGATACACAACAGACGGCGTGGTTGGTTGTTTTCTATGATATTTTGGCCTCGAGTGAGTGGAAGTTGTAGCGGGTCTTTTAGTGTACACTACTTCTGTTGTAGTGGTTTCATCAAGTGGGGCGAAGAAGTCCGGAGGCGGCGGTAAGATTATTCCAGGCACAAGTGGTCCCGCAGGTACACTGTTGTTATACTCGGAATGGTAGGAAAAATTGTAAGGCGGCGGATAATAGATCGAAGGGTCGTCTTCGTCGTATAGGTCTGTTTGGTTGCTCGGTGGTGGTAGAAACGCCGCGCCCGGAGGAAAGCCTTCTGGAAAAGAGCCGTTCATGGATGGGGGGAAGGGGTATGGTCCTTCGCTCGCATTCCCAGGTAGGAATGGGAACGGAGGAATTGGCAACGGCGCTTGCCCGGCAGTAGAGTTTCTCTGATTTTCACCCGAGGGATATGGCGCTCCCGCTGTGAAGAGGAATGGCGGTGGTGGTAGAGGGCCATCGCCTTCTCCCGTAGGGAAGGGAGGGAAAAGGGACGCGGGGACGCTACCGTTAGGAGTAAGGAAGACGAGCGGTCCGTCGTCGGAGAGGCGTACCGGAAAGGGCGGAGGTACTTTGGGTTTCTGAGGGAGCTTTACTTGCCTTCTCGGGGCTTCGTAGCTATCGATAGGTGGCCAAGGTTTTACTCCCGTATCCTTCGTGCGCTCCGGGAACGATCCCCCTTTGAGAACTAAAAGGTGGTCTTCTGCGAGCCAAATCTCATCCTTTTTGAGCCCACCGAGACTTTGGAGGTTATCTTTCGTTCTAGTTTCAGTATCTGGTTCATAGCTAACGATACCCGGTCGTTTCGGGGCTTTAGCAAATATCTCATTTTGAATCAGTCCATATTTCCCCTCAGCCACCTGATCCGATAACGTTTTCTTTTCTTCATCGTCCTCTTTCACTTTTCCGGCTTCTTTGCCTTCGCCAGCGCTGGACATGAGCATGCCGTCGTCCCAGATGCCCTGGTTCCATCCTACAGTGCCGCCCGACGGATCGGCCACATACACACCTGCGAATTTTCCACTTTCAGTCTTGCCCTCGTATCCGATATAGTTTTTTGAGGCGCCGTATTCTTTGTCGTGTTTTATCTTCATGTGTCCACCAACG